TTTCAATACTTCTGGGACATTGTATGTGTGGTAAGTGGTAACAATACCCTTACCCAAAATTTAGGGAATACGTTACCTGGGTCAAATATCTTGATTTTGTGGGGTTACGTCGAACGCTGGTATGATTGAGATTTAATATTATACTGTGCGTGTTGAGTTCATTAGGAATAATTGTAATTTATCATTTTAATGAAAAAAATGTGTACCTCTAGAAGGGAATAGAAGATGAGCAGTCTCGTACATCCACACAAACACCGATTATGAACGATGAAGTAATTTGAAGTCACAGATATTCAAAGAGGGGTAACCTGGGTCGTGAAAGAAATTTTGAAGTTTGGTATGTGCACAGTTTGGTATGGTGCACACGTAGCCTAGTAGTAATTCATTCTTTACTGGTCAGTCGGCTCAGAAGGCAAGTAAGGAAATTAATTGACTCTGCTAGCAACTAAACTTTAGTTACTTCAGTACTAAAGGACCAAAATCTGCAAATAGCCGTTGAACGCCTGCTGTGTGGCCCACTCACTTTATTGGCTTCCTTTCCCTCCTTTAGCACTTATCGAAACAGTACATTTCCTCTCTTCCATGCCTTTTCTGAATGTGTTCCACGTGCAATCATTTCGACATGTTTTTCCCACTTCTGTTAATTCATGAGGAGTCACGTACAGATCTATAGATTGCAAACTCATAATTAACAGGCACCGATGACCGGGATGTTGTTAATACAGCAATTGCCTGTACCGACATGGTTTTTCAAGTGGTTTCCCATGTCACTCTTATGTTCTATAGGAGAGGGAATACGGTACAAGTGTAGGATCCGCAGCCGCATACATAGAGTAACATAGGGCCAATTAGCCAGAAAGTCAGGTAGAAAGGACTGGAATATAAAAAAAAAACTCGTAATTAGTGGATTATAAAATTAAAAATAATGAACACTTCGATTTATATTTCTACTTACATAACTTATTCTTCTGAATGATTTCTGACGCTACTTTAACCGAGAGGCACGTTGCTCTACGGAAACTCACGAGAGACTAATTCACTAGACAACTACTTGGGCCTTGTTTTAGGACCTTTGGAGCAACATCATTTGTATCCTCTGAAAAAGGCTTCTTCCTTCCTCCTTGACCACTTCTGGTCGCCAAATGTTCCTTAAGGATAGCAAGTAATCAACAGCAAGTAATAAACAGGAACGATAATATAAATTATAGCTAGAAGACAAAAAGGGAATTTTGTACTTGGGAGAAATTCCTAAAAATCCAACAATAATAACGACGCACAACTCTCCTGGAATAAAAGTGTGCTCACGGTTCCTGCAAGTGATGTTATTAATGCCTATGAAGAATTGATTGATGGAAATGTATTATGCATGAGCAGATCATTGTTGAGCTCAATAAATATTTCTCAGGTATATTGGTAGGAGCTCAAACTCGAATATGTAGACGTCGTAATAATGATGTTGTCCTCAAAGACGATGGACGAACAAACAGGAGTTGACGGGTTGCATTATTCATTTAATGACACAATGAAGTTGAAACTTGTTCAAATGGTTCAATTATTGGCGTGATTAGGAATGGATAGAATTCCACAGAACTATACGCCTATCAGGTCAGTACTGCAACCTAAGCTGAAGACTCAATCGGTCACACTGCTTGCTGTAGGCTTGTTAAGCAGTTGGTCGCGGACGAGGGATATAATTTTCTTCTTGCCATCGCTCCGTTCACTATTGTGGAGCTGACAAGCGAAGTGGTCTCCATGCTATTGCTCAACAAGTGGTAAATCTCTGCCTAGCAGGCGGCTTTTCTCTAGCAAAGTAGCACTCTAATACTTCATTTCTACTTCGTTTTATGAATGTGGAGGCCATTCCTCGGGATCCGACGCGGCAAGACAACTCTATGACTCAAATTCACCGCCTCCCTTCTAGCATACGGTTGACGAAGAAAAATATTCTATCTGTGATAGCCGAACCATTTGATCATCTGCAATTTCTGCTTCTGGCCGTGATCAAGGTCCAAGTGTCTTCTCCAGAGTCTACAGAGGGCAGGGTTGTATTGAAACTATAGTCTGTCGCCACCGAAATTCCGGTAGTAGGTTCAGTTTCGTAATGAGCTTTTTCACATTAAGAAAATCTCTATTTCCCACTGCTACTGTGATAAATTCGAGCTTGTGGGTTCAGGCGTGGTCTGTATATTCTTAGGTATAGCGAGAACAAAGATAGCCCCGCTGATTCACGATTCCACGTCTCGACCTCAACGCTGCAGTTGGTCTGGTAGATCTCACAAGATATGTTCGTGCCGAGCTCAATCTGGATATTGCTTCTGTGCTCTTCTGGACAGACTTAGCACTTACCAGTTTTGGTATGGATCACTTTTCATTCTTTTAGCAGGAAGAAATACGTCCATAACAGGGTCCTCGACTACGATGCCTGCGACTACGCCATGCATTTAATTGGTACGGACAAGAAGCTAAAGATGCTAGTCTATGCCCCACCAAAGGATTTCCAGAGTCATTCCGCAGTGGATGTCAAAGATGGCACGTGGTGGTCGTCGAATTTACGAAAAACTTCACATTGTGAAGGAAAAAGAGAAGCAGCAGTAAAATTAGTAAACTATGATCTCTGTTGAAGCTTTTGGGCTACTCCTCTCGCATTCGTCATTTTCGTCATCTGAAACTTCCTACGCTCTTCTCTATGCTCCTCCTATGCTCCTTGTATCGAAGCAGATCTCGTCTTCAACACCTTCTGCAAGGACTCTGAAGACTCTGATGAGGTGTCTTGCTTGATTCCAAGACATTTTCTAATTGGCGAAGATCCGGTCACTCTGCTGAAAATTACACTGGATCATGGCAACGTTGGACGGCTACTTCTAGGAACAGTCTATAGGATAGCTGCAGAAGCTGCAGTCCACATCTAGGTGGCATTATCCGTTCAATAACATTCCTACTGAATCTCTGGTTCTTTTTCCGACGAAAGTTTCCCGACATTGAACGATCTCTCGCGCGTATCACAGTTCGATCTCTTGGGACTTAGAATGGCATTAATAACTAACGACTAACTAGTAACACTTATCAAAGTTGTCCTTATCGAAGGGACCCACGAATAAAGCTGGTAGAATGAAGGAAACTTGAGGATCGAGACCATGTCCAATTGATAATTGATATGTTTTCTACAATTCCGAATGAGCTGGGTAAACTATTTTTTCTTCTATGCATTTACGTGAACACTTTAGAAATACAAATTTTGAGAAAGAAAAATCTTTTAATTTTCTCAATCGAGATGTCCCTTGAGAAATTTTCATGATTTAAGGATTACTATCGAAACTTTAGATACATATCAAAGTTCTCGTGTCAGTGGTTCTCATGATGGTTGCAGATCATACGAATCCGTAATGTCTAGTTGAATTTCAGGTAGCTCTTATATTAATGTGGACAGATGAACGACACACTTCTGGTGACAACTATTCGAGCGTGATTAAATGAAGAAACTCGTGTATCGTGTGCTTAGGAAAATACTAAATAATTTATAGATTATTAGCCGAAAAAAAATAGCGACGTCGATAGCTCAGTGGCTACGTGCGAGTCTAGTGTTCTGAAAGTTGTAGGTTTTATTCCCCATTGAATCGAATTTTTCAACAGGCGCCGATGAGCAGGAGGTTGGTAATAAAGCAACCGCCTCTACCGACATGGTTTTTCCTGTGGTTTCCCATGTTACCCCTATGTTCTGTAGGTCAGTGAATACGCTATAGTGTAGGATCCTCAGCCCTATGCGTAGGGTGGGATAGGGCCAATTAACCAAAGAAGGAAAGTAGAAAGGGCCGTAATTAAAAAAAAATTATCCGAAAAAAGTAAATTATGTCAAGCCAATACTGATGAACAGTTTTCATTTTCGTAATGTTTTGAAGAATGAAGGATAGCGTGAGGAATTTGAAGGATAATAATTTTGGAAGATCAAAGATGGACCGATAAAGATGGAGCGAAAAGGAAGACCCACAACTTAAAGATTAATGGATGAATATAGTGTGCCACGACTGCATTTACAAATTACTCATTTTTGATACTCAATAATGAAAAAGACAAACTACAGAAGCGTTGCAGATCCTTTTACATGATGTTTCTTAGCCTTTCCCCGATCTAAATTCAATAATTGCATTGAATTTCCTTACCATCATGAAGTTCCTTTTTGAAATAGACATGTTTGTCTTTCTATTTGTCCCAGACAATATACCGCTCTATACCATATTTTTATTCAATTATATTCAATACTATTTAATTTATTCTTATATCAAATTATCTTAAAAACAAAATTACAATTATAAACGTTGATTTTGTTGCACTAAATGTCTTTATGTAAAAAAATCCAATAATTTTTTTTTTACAGATGGAACCATATGAGCTACAAGTGGTGTAACTCTCTTTTGCGCTAAAGAGGTTGAAGTAACTGACACCGAGTACAATACTATCAATTCTGCATACCTTAGATTTTCCTTCAATTCGCACTACAATGATGAGTTTTACATTTTTGGAGCTAGTCCTGCAATTCAATAATCTTATTCTTAGCAAAAAAAATGCTGGGAAATTGTGTTCGAGATGAACAGAAGAAATGTCTACTTATTTGTGCTTAGTTTAAGAAAACCAACGTATTTATTGAATTTAACTACCTGTAGATCATAAAATGTATGAGAGTGGCGGTAAAAATGGGAAATTCGATCTATTTCCCATGAAACATTTCGATTATATTGGCCATGTAACCATAATTGTCTGTACAGATAAAAGAATAAAAATGAAAGGTCTTGAATAATCTGCAATAATTTCGAATATTTAAAAATCAATTATTCCCAGCCAATATCCATAAATACAGTGAAGACCTATACATCAAGGCAATGTCATATTGTTGATTAGTTTATGTATACCAGATGTGGGCATCCTCGGGTAGGCAAGGTCACTATTGACCAGAGGTGTTCATTGATAGAATTGCCCATTGACAATAACCTTAGATTTCGACGGGAAAAACGAAATACCTGCAATAAGCGTGCCCAATTGGCGCCGGCGTACAGGGCGGATACGTGAAAACACTCCCAGTTCTTCTATGCGACTTCTTGGCGTATAGGATACCTCTCATACTGGTGTATCAGTGCTCCATGTTAGATGGGGCAGTGGTAGCCCTTGGTAGACTCCCGGTGCCCTTGCATTGATTTTGCGCCCTCTACATAAGGGTTATGCTCTCCCTGATCACGCTCTCTGGGTGAGAGCAATACTCCTCAGGCGGTGTCATCAGGGTGAGAACTTTCGGTTTATTAAAATCACGTATCCGTGGACCCTGGTCTTCTCTCTACGACCTAGCATCCTCAGCAGTCCCGGGCCTTTTAGCCTTTCGCGAATAGTTTTCGTCGGGATTTAGAGTATCGTCTCGTTCATGGACTTTACGGGTTTTTTTTTACTTTTGGGTTTTGTATTGCAACCCTACTCGTCCTGTCCTTTCGTGCTTTTGGTTTTGTATATATTTTCCTATTTTGGGCCACCTCACCTCTTTACCCTTGCTTCGGTTCGTTGAGTTTTTGTTAACTTTTAACCCTTGAAAATCTAGGCTGCGCTCCTTCAAATCGGTTCCAATATTCGAAGACGAGTATGGGAACAGGTGAAGGTAATAACTATCCTCCATCTCTAGGACGAAATCCGAAAAAGTGTTACAGGGCACTCAGCAGTACACCCTGTACCCTACCCCCACACCCTAAGCACTCGGCTGCGAGAGACAGCACATCACAGCGCACGGTACCCCAACTCAGTCGTGAGTTAAGAGTGGGAAGGAGTGCCATAGGGGCTACACTTCCGAATCACTCGGCAGAGCCGCTCCAGCTGGCGCTCAGTCAAACTCGTCGTTCGCTCGCGCTCTCGCTGGCCTCCCTCATCCTACGTGGTCGGAGTTGGCGTGGCATCCAAGCAGGAGTTCTAGCCCGTCCTCCTTCACTTTGTTTGTGAGGTTTTCGACTTCTCTATTATGTACTCCGAAATTCTGTCTCCTCGTAACTGTATCCTTATTCTAGCTACCGCGAAATCCCCAGAGCTCAGTAGTGAGGAAAGTGGCCTCAGATCCTTTGATAAAGAAGCAGGCCCTTATCCTGTTTTCCTCTTCCTATCCACTACTCATTGTTCTTGGATGAGAGCTATGGCTGTGCGCATTATAGCTAGCGTCCTGCAGAGGATAACTGAAGCGTTTTTGTTATGATGCAGGTTAATTTAGACTATCCCGTACATCCTGTGAGTCATTGAAGGGCTCACTTGACTCCGTCGTTAGTCTGATCTTCCCCATGGCGATTCTTCTCGAGTAACTTTATAGTTGCCCTTTGAGTTCTGCAGTGAGGCCTGAAGTTGCAGGTGGTAAGGCACTGCAACATCTTGTCACTAATCAATGCGAAACTCAGCGAAGTGGGCGCTCGCAGCTCCCCTACTTTCGCAACTCTTCATAACGACCCAGCTTTCGGAGCCCTCTTGGAATGACACTTCTTCACCACCTCTTCACCACCTCTTCACCACTCAAAGAGCATCGAACGACGATCGCTGAGGTCGCTCATACGGTGAGTGAGATCAATTCCATAGTGGGAAAAAACGTGGTGACGGTAGTTTCGGAACATTATGATGGCGCTGACGATAGCTGCCACCCATTTTGGAAATCCACTCAACTGTGTTAGGGAGTCCAGGGCGGAAGTACAGGTGATCCAACTCGGTGATCCCAAAAGGCGTCGACGATATAGACTAGGGACTAACGGCTAGGTGAAACGACTAGCGTTCCCGTGATCCCGTCGAACTGATCGGTGATTATGGGGTAACGGATGATCCACAGACACCGAGAGGTTCAGACTATGGCGAGAAGACCCTGGAGAATCTCGAGACAGTTATCGTTGAGTGCTGGTGGCGAGCGAATGTTTTAGGAGCTCGCCATCAGTTCTGGCAGTAATCCTGTTGGGATTATGACGGGTATGTATTTCCAATCTTAGATTGGGATAGCGAGAGATAGGGACACCTAAGCGTCCGCGACAAGTGAAATGGATTGCTTTGTGGCTGCGGAAGGAACGTTTTCGACCACAGAGACCCATTTCCGGGGTGAAACTCATGGTGTTGCCTTGAATTGGGGGTGGGCAATCGAATCGACTCCCGTAGGCCCGATTGCACGTGCCTCTATGAGAAGTAGCTCAGCTTTTAGCTCGCGATGAGATTGCTGTTATTAAGCAGTCTCGCGTTGGGGCGCATATTAAGCGGGTGAGCACGGTCTCCGGATGCCAATGTCGCATGTGCCTCGGGATGCTTAGCGCCCTGTGAATTCAGGAGGATTTGCAGGTGGTCTGTGTCTCCTTTAAGGTCGAGTAACCGTGGAGGAGAGTAGAGAATTGTGAGACCGGTCACTTAAGGTCCGCGTACTTGACGAACTTCCTTCGTGGCTAGTTTTCGTCAGGTTCTCCAGAAAAACCTGGCTGGCGCCCGATCGTGAGTTATGGAAACGACAGCTAGAATAGTTCGAGAATTCTCCCGGGGTGTTGACCCGGGAAAAATCCTCTTACAGCTTTTCAGCCACATCCCCGATTCTTCATCGATGCAGCCTACAGAGGCCGCACGGTTCCTTTCATAGGTTTCCTCGAAGGTTGGTGTCTTTGTTCCCTCCGGTAGAGACAGGATTTAGGGCCTAATTTATACTTTCTTGGGTAATCTTGTGGTCAGGGTAGCTCTCTGGTATGAGCCTAACTGATCATCTTTTTTGTGGCCTGTGAGAAAGTAGCCTTATTGGTCTTATCTTCTCATGGCCTTAGCCGTCTCACAGCTCTTTTCGCCGCTCGTTTGAGTAGCAGTCCCTTGGGCTTGAATAGCCTTGCCGGCTTCGCTGTATTTGATCGTGTTCTTCGGTAGTCCAGTGATCTCTTGGTTATCCGTCTGGTTCTTGGTAGTTCCAGGCGAACTTTGCGTTTCTGTTCTCGTCCATGCAAGTCCTACGAGTATCGCAGTTATCCGGGTCGCGCTGTGAATGCCCTAGGTTTAGCTGCTTACGCTCGCAAGTCGCTTGGTATCCGAGGGCACCGTTAGCGTGACTTGCCTCGCGTCACGCAGCCCTCGGCACGGTTTGGAGGTATACTGACAGCGAAACACTACCACTCCCACGGTGCCCCCGTGCATGATCCCTTGGCTTGGGGGGCTGGCCGGCGACAAGGATTTAGGCGTTGCCGTCCGGTTTTCCAGTTGGGAACCTATAAGCCGCGTAGATCACTCCTTTGGCGTTTTCCCTACAGGGTCTCAGGTTATTTGACTGATCAAAGCTCGGATTTCATCTCATAGTTGATTGAAGAATTGAATGTTCTTCTGAAAATCAAACACCGACATACGTCTTCCTATCATCCACAAACCAATTACCTAAGGCACTAGATTCGAGAAAAACAAGATAACTGCGACGAGTACATTTCAACTGCTATGTTTAGCTACAACACTCTGGTTCATATATCTACCAATTATTCTCCTTATAAACTGCTCTTTAGTAGAGGACCATACTTGCTCAGTTCAATTACCCAAGAACCTAAAATTGAATACACCTATGACAATTTTATCAAGTCCCTCGAAGCCAAATTAAACACCTCTTTCAAGATTGCCAGAGATCTAATTAAAAAATAAAAAATCAAGAGCAAGGATAATTACGATCAACGTGCCAACCCTAAAACATTCAAGACCAATGATTTAGTTTGTATACGAAAAAATCAAAGTAACATTGGCTTATTAAAGAAACTATCTCTGAATGCGAAAGGACAATGCAAAATCACTCAAGTATTTCCAAATCAGTCAGTAGGATCGCAAATTGGTAAAAAGAAAATTGTACATCACGCTGATAGTTTAAAATACTATTTTTCAGATGAATCTGACGATTCTAATCCTCCTTCTGATCCTCTCTTCAATAATTAGTGAATTTCATTCACATCAGCTCATTGCGCACTTGACTGGACTTTTTTACAGTAAGAAATAAACCGCGAAAATCTCAAACACATAGTCAATTCTGTCAATCCAAATGTCACCAAAATCAGTCACATATGGAAGACATTATCCTACGATATACTGGTATCATCACCTTAAAAGACAAATGTCGAAAGTTCACCCACCTTTATGTCTTCGAGCCATCTAGCAAAAAGAAAGAAAATATTGACTTCTATGCTCCCACCTCGACCGTCCTCACAGACGACTGCTGTGCTCCAGTACCTCAACCTGTAGTAATCGGGACTCGCTAGAACTTTGGTATTCCAGTAAAGTGGTCAACGAAACAATCAGTAATTGCCGCAGCTATGCCAAGATGATCCTATGGTGTCGCACACGTATTGATCTGAAATCACGACTAGACCCAGAATAATCCGATCCGGTTATTAAAAACTTCGTTTGTTGCAACTTGCACCTTTGATTCTGAAGTCGGAACGATACAACCTTTACAACTAGAGCTCCCGCCAAGATCGAGAACGACATGATCGGACAGTAGCGAATCGGAAGCTGAAAACACCGTGCCAATGTTGATGATGCCATAGACCCATAACCATTATCGACGTTCCAGTACTATCCCAACTTGAGTCAAGACATTTTAAGCAAGACATGAAAAGAAAAACTATCTTCGATTTTTAGGGTTGAGAAATTATCCAATTACTATGTTTTAACGTAAAATCATAAGTCCAATTAAAAGTTAGCTATACAAAAAAAATCTTTTAATTAATAACTAAATTCCTAAAATTTAAAATTAAGTTGAATTCATTCAGAATATAGTCATTA